ACGATGTTTTATCAAGGCAATTACTTTCAAATCTGAATCGTTCCTCTTGAAATTTCCCTCGTAAAGAAATCCTAGCGATCAGATATGCAGGGCGTCCACAGCTCACGTATTAAAAGTTGGTACAAAATTTGTAGCGCCGCGTGTGAAAAATTCACCCGACTAAAACGTGGAGGGCAAAAATTATATTTTTTGAAAGGACGAAAACCCTTTGAACCGCGCCTACACTTTCTCTGGTTTACTTTCTTTTAAATAATTTAAAACAATTTAAAAAAAGCCTGTACTGTATATTTATCCATATACGCGTTCGTGCTCCACATTTTAGTTTGGTGAATTTTTCCCCGTGGCGCTACAAACGTTGTACCAACGCTTGGATCCTCGCGCGCATGCGCATCGTTGAGTTCGCTCGCGATCGCCACTACAATGTCGGACGTTGAGCGTTCGATGGTGAGAACGTCTCTTGCATTTCCTGTGATTTCCTAAGTGAAATCCTGTGAGCACGACGTTTCTATTCGTGACCAGTGTTGTAATATGGTCGTATAACTCATCGGCAGCGACGAACCGTGATCTAGAACTATCGTAGCTCGTGCACGACTGCAGAGATGGGTGAGTAAAAGGCGGAAACCAAGTGGCGAATGCCGGCTAGCTTTTCTCTGTCTCTTCGTGGCTTCGTCGTTCGCGGTAGATGTGCGCGCGTGTGGCTCGTGTACTACTTGTCGTTGCCAAAGGCCAGAAAAGCGTGTCTGTGTGCGCGTATGTATACATGGGTGTCGTGTGTAGAGAGGTGTGGGAGCGGGTGTACGCCCCTGTATCCTGCGATTTCCGTCCAATTTTCACGGGCTTTTCCCTCGTGATGAGCACGCCGAATGTTTTCCGCGAGGATCGTAACCGTTAAACTCGCTCGGGGGCTCTATAAATAGGTGGATCCATCGGTTTGACGTTTCCTAGGGTGAGCCGGACGTACGTATACCTCCGCTGACTGTTTTTCCTGTTCGTTTTATTTTCGCGCTATTCGCGAGTGACCTGCATTCTCGAGCGGTACGCTGGGTCGAATTCGATCCTCTGCTAGGGCTGCCACCTTTACGAAGTACAGATGGAAATTCTCGTTTCTTCTTTTCTCATACATTTGTATTGTACGTTTTCATTGATTCAACACGAGAAGATAAAATAATACAGGCACGTTCGCATCGCGTATCATCTGCAGCTTTTCAACTTGTCGTAGCTGTTGCATAATCGCCTCGTACGTTTTATCGTGTAGTTAGTACGTAGAGTTCGATTTTCGTTTTTAAACTTTACAACAAATCCTTATATTTATGCGGACGGAATTATTATTTCGACGGAATGACTATCTCGACGATTCGTGTAAAACTTTGTACGAATTGCCAGACGTATCCGGTCGGCATACGCGCACACAAGTGTACGAATCGATTGGTTTTAACAGAAAATAACGATTCGTTCCCGATTTGCGCGAAATATCGACGAGAGTGGAAATATCTGTTGCGTGGCCCGTTTGTGCGTGCACTAGCGATTCCAGGACGGTATCCGAGGACGCCACGCTCGTAAATTTGCTCGCACAATTATGCGTTCTACCCACGCAACCACCGTACCTTGCACGATGCGTCGTGTATGCGCTTCAATACGTATGCATCGTCGAGAGTAGCAGCGACGGCGACGCACTGGAACGAACCAGCGATGCATCCTGCTACGATTATCCTATGCGGTATTTTCTTTTGCGCTGTGAGATACGCGAACCAGGATATCAGTCCGTCCCCGTGTAACGGTCGCGTCTAGTCTTTTGTCAAACACGATTAATAGCAATCTGGCGAAGAGGAGAGCAAATACAGTGACACACTTAACGAACTGTCCTGTATTTTCCCAAGTATAGTGTAGCGCCATATGCGTCCATTGGTTTTAGATATTCACTTCGTTCGAGTGTAATCACCGTGTTATCTATATCGTAGGAAATTGCGGTCGGTATTTATACACTCGAATTTCGCGACATACTTTGCGCGTGCTATGACTTCGCGTAAAGGTCGATTCAGACTATACGACACGTTCCGGCACCGCCACGACAAAAACATTGAAACACGCGTTTTAATGGAACCATTCACGCTTAACAAACACCGACCTGAACGTTTCGTCAACGGGAATAGTGTGAATAGTTCCATTAGTGTTTGAATGTTTCGTCGTGTCGGTGCCGGTACGTGTCGTTGCCGGAACGTGACGGTCCGTGTCGTATAGTCTGAATCGACCTTAACAGCGACCGTGTCGAATCTCACACCGAGTGATTTCTATTTGTAACAAATTGATTATTTTTAAATTGTACTTTAAGCTACCATCGTATTGTAACCGCGTCGTAATCGCGTTGTAACTTTTCGCGAAACCGTTGTACGTTATTTTCCAACGAACGTGAACGCGTTCAAACCGCGTTCTAAATAATACGACGATCGACGAATAGAATTGATTTTCTTCTTTCTCCCTTGTATATTGACATACATTTAGTACGAGGGTCTCGCCCTCGAAGTACCGTTGATTCCATTGCCGGCTTTCAGTGAAACTGCAAGCGCTACAGATCGATAACACCCCCTCGTGTTCGATTCACGCTGCACTGGTAGGCAGAAGGGAAAATCTTGTGCAGTGAAATACACCGGAATCATCGTGACCAAGAGTTTTTACGATGCGCGCTAACGAGAAGGCTCCTTAACTGTAAATCTCGTTGAACGTGTAGATTGCACCGCGATACGTGGTACAATCGAGACTGGGATGAACGAAATAACGAATAAAAATATGTGAAATAAAATTTTGTCTCCAGAGTTCATTTTTGGGAAAATTCGTTTCGCAGATAGAAACGATACGACGTGCGCGCGCACGTGCGCGCATATACCACGAATTTTCAAAAATTGATTTTCTTTCGAGCGAAGTTGGTATCTACAAAAAATGTTTATTCTTTTCCTGTAGTATCGTGTAGTTATCGTACACTATGCGCGGATTTAGTAAATCGTAGTTTTGTTCCGAACTTTTTATCGCGTGTTGCGGATATAATTCGTGCAGCTGTTGCATGCATGACGAAGCATAGAGAAATTCTCGCGCATTTTTCTTAAAAGATCAAAAATAGCCGTTCGAACATTGTGTCCTTTCTCTTAAATGTTCCCGAAATTGATGTTCCATCTAAATGTCCACTATATCCGGGTTACTGATTGACGGAGCTCCTCCCAGGAAGTCTCCCGAGTGGACGTAACGTAACTCTGCGGTTACATAATCTGTAAAAAAATGATGAAATCATGTGCATTGTCTGGCAGTAGATACAATTACGCTTGACTTACTCAAGCGTCGCTTATCATGTTTACCGTGACGTTCTGAAATGCATTAGCTTTCTTGGAAGACCATATTTTTACTTCGTTTTAGCGCCAAGTGATATCGAAGTGTGTAATCTTCACCTGTAAGGTGAAGAGACGATCGAATCGAAGTAAAAGCGACCAATGCTTCAAGACTGCGATCACTCGATCGTCTCCAGAACGGTGTCGATTATGTTAAAAAGTCGAAAGACAACGGATAGAGTTTCGTCTCGATCGCGTTCAACGCAGTCCAGCACGCGAAACCGAACTTTTCGAATACCGTTGCGTAAATAATGTTCTTTGATTCCAAGGTATTTCTCGATGGCATACATTCGCTCCTGTAACACATACCAGTACTATTTGAAAGAGGATAAGGCCTGACCAGTCTAGAATTTCCTTCTCGGTGCGCATAGATCTCGTAATATAATAACACTGTCTCGTAATTGATTTCGAAGTAAAACCGGCATCGTTCCTATTGTTGAGAAACGCGCTCGATTAGGGAAAAGTTATTTCTGTCCTGTTATTGTTCTTACGCAACAGCGAGACTAATAAACGACGAGAAAGTTACGGCTTCGTCGTGTTTTTCCGAATTACTTCGGAATTCCTTTGATCTTAACGAGCTAACGGTTTGGATGTTTGTCGTCTGCGACTATATGTACATTCGTTGTGTCGACAAACTGAAGGTATGCGCCGTCAGGTGGTTTCGCAATTTTTCTTCGGCTAAATTAATAATGATTTTCACAACCGCTTACTTGGGTGGGAAAATTGAATTACGTGGGAAAAGTTTAAGATTAAGTAAATATTTTCAGCCATTCTTTTTTGATACGTCGATACCTGTTCCCAGTGCCTTGATAGCCGTTGCGATGACACAGATAAGTATTTTTGCGACTGAATATACTTACGTACCGATTGATAATAGTTCGCGTTTCGTCCATTATGTCTTGGATTACGAACTTTTCAATTCTGTCGAGTAATACTCGAAATATTGGGCTGTCTGGAAAGTTCATGGCGATTTTTAGTAGGTCATACAGGTCTGAATATATCGGAATGGCTGAAAACAAATAATATATGTACATTTCTTAAGAGGTGGAATGGTTGTGGAACAAAATGGTACGTGTATAATTCGATAAATATACATCGAAATTCAAATATGCCTCTGAATTTTTCTTCAAATTTTACGTTTTGAGAAAAATCCGTTTAAAGTTTCAGGATCTAAAAAATAGTCTTTCGTGTACCGTTCGGAGCGCATCACTTTAATGACTCTGTAGGTACACTCAGACCTCGAAGTTTTTGTTGGAATTTTACGGAGCACATTCTCCAGATGGTAAACTAATTTTCTAAACAAAAAAAAAAAGAAACGGTCAAAATTTTGAATTTTACTTGACCCTCCGCTCTTAGTTGAATTAGAGGATTACCGGATTGCTCGAATATCGTAAGCAGGCACTGGGTCAATCCTATCGCAACCCTCTGGCCCGAAGCTGTCGTGCACGATCTTTGCACGCAATCACAGCAACGACGACCGTGAAAAGTAAACGTCAGTCGAGTCGTGCGACTTGACAATCGAATCTCGACGCACGAATCTCTCTCCTCCCCTCCCCTCCCCTCCCCTCCCCACCCCTGTCCCGGCCGCGATCGACCGCCGCGCAGCCAGTCTGCGATCGGCGCTCGTGCCGATGATATCGCGGGTGTGGTGTTCCGGATGATCGTGACACGTTCGCAACTCTAAAACGAATCGACCGTTCTCTGTATTCATCGATCGACCGGTGGATCAACGTTTCCCTCTTTCTTTCTGTGCGACGATTCCCGCAAATTTCGAAATCTCGACGAGGACTTAACATCGCTACGTATCAAGATATTTATAATCTTATCTTCGCTTGGAGAGGAAAAAGGCGAAAGGTGTACTCCACCTTGCGGCACTGGAACGTTACGCAACAGTCGCGACCAACAGGGACAATGAAGTCGAAGACGAACGAGAATTTTATAACGAGTGAAAGTAACGGGGTCAAGAAGGATCAGGAACTCAAGCAGAAACTACTGAAGAAGGGTAAGATGAGTTGGATATCTCCGATCGTTCAAGGCGATCTTCTTCCAAGTTCCAATACGATAAACAGATTGGCTCGAACTTGGGGTGGAGAATTGACGGTAGTTTGATTTAGCTTTGAAATCCGGAGTAGATCTTTTATTCGCTTCGAATAGTATTTTGTCTACTATTCTGTGGTAATAAAAAAATTCACGTTTGTCGTGAAATTTGTTACGGTTCGACGTCGGATAGAGGTGGAACACGAGTTTTAGCGGCTGCGATAGCAACGTAGTGGTATCAAAGCGCGAATACACGCGTAATGCTCCCGATTGTCGCGTGACGTAATTCATCGCTCGATGATAACGACTGGCAAAATTGTATTGTCGTAAAAGCGGCAACGCGTTAAACTTAAAATAGAAAACAACGGATTAATTTTAGATAGCGGCGATGCCGATTATAGACGACGCGTCGCGTGCCGCGAATAATTTTATTAAGAAAGTCACATTAATGCAATCGAATGTCTATCTAACGATTGTATTCGGTAAAAATGTCCGGAAAGTGTCCTATACGTGGAAATAGATGAATTTTGCTATTTATAATACCCGTTGCTTCGTCGCGAACACGTTTCTTTACTCGAAATTCGTCACTGGTAACAAATGAATACTTCCCGCGTGCTAACCACATTTAGCCCCATTTAGTTCCCATTCGAGTACGAGAGTTCTATATAAAGAAAAACAATTAATAAACCATTTACACCAGACTGAATGGCGCGTTCGTCGCTATTGCAATATTGTATCGCAAATCGGCAACGCCTTAATGGAAGTTAAGTACACGTTGTGTGCCATCCACTTTGTAATTCAATTCTTCATTCATTTCCCGTGGGCTACCGGGGCTGCGTTGCTCGATACATTATTAAATAGTTGTAACGCGATTGTAATGCTGTTAATTACACACCAAAGCTCCATTACATCCTGTTGCATACGTAACGGACGATTCTTTCGCGAGTTGCTTGCGTAAAATTAATCACGCGAGATCGAGGCGAGCACCGATAAAAATGTGGATAAGAAAAGAAAGAGCTGTCAACAATTTTTGACAACCTTCCTCCGCACGTACACGTAGGAGAAAAATCCTTAGTTGCTCCGCAACTGGCTGTTAAGTGTATTTATTATCACGTTGTAATTCGCTTAGGTCACTTATCAGTCGATTATCGTTTCGGTGGTAATCGTGTTAACGTTATCGTGGTTATCAGACACTTCGTTGCGCTTAAAATTCTTGTGTAATACGAACATACGTAACGATTAGCGGCGATTACAAACAGCCATCGGACGCATTTAATCATTCGTCGATTCTGTGACCCAGAGTGCATCGAGAGAAAGACCCGGCCACTTAGGGGTCGTCATGTTTGACCCCACTTTACGACATCCTATTTAGACCACTTACGAATCATATTAACATACCGAGGCGGTGAGGAACGTATGTGGAACGAAGCTATTCGATGATGAATTGTCGTTACGGCAAGCTTGTAACGACACTGAAACGCGGTTGAAGCCGACTTGATTTGGAAAAATCGACAGCATACGGAATTCTTGATAAATCAACGATCAACGTTTCTTTACTTATTTTGAAGATTAACGAGTATTCGTACTATTAGGTTGACCAGAAAGTTCGTGGCAATTTTTAAGAAAACTTCAAAGGCACAATTGAATTGTAATATATATATATATTTATTGAATTACGTAGGTACCATTTTGTTCCACAACCTTTCCACCTTTTAAGGGATGTTTAAGGGATATATATGTTATTTGTTTTCAGCCATTTCGACATATTCAGATCTGCACCACCTACCAAAAATCGGCATGGACTTTTTCGGACAAACCAATAATTTCTCGCGAACAGATTACGTAAATTTAGCGATGACTTTCGATGATAAATGATAGTTATGAAAATCATTCAAAGGTATCTTGGTAGACTTGGTAGGAAAGATTTTCAGGTAACCTGGAAACACCGTTTCGCGACATCCCATTTAGAGCGGCTTGCGAATCATATTAAAGTACTCTGTGCCCGGGATACGGTAGATGTAGGACAAACTGCGCGTGGGTGATACGTAGAGATGCAACTTTCTTTTTCCTGTAACGATGTCACAGTCCTCGAATTTACGAGATTTTCGGTGAACGCACGATCTCGTGCACGGTGTCTCGCGAAATTATAAATCTTGTTTGCTTGGCTGGTCGTTCCCGCGACAACGAGCAAATACAAATTTCTACCGTAAGTGGTTCCGTAGGTGTTGCACGCTGTCGGATTGTCTAGCTGTCTTATCATCGTTCATTAGAAATTCCGAGCACCTCCCACGTCGACTCTTACCGGTTTGTAGCGCGATTACCACTTCGAATTCCAAGTCGGGAATTCCACCGAGATTATTGTGCTACCGCGTGTAGAAATAGCGCGCGATTGCAAAACGGTGTCGGTACTTCTCGAGCATTCAACGCATCTTTTTGATGATTCTCGACTTAGATTTTTCCTTTAATCTTTCAATCCTTGCGCCTTATTTTTTTTTTTTTTTATGACTATTTGCACGCAAATGTTCGTCGGCTCGATCTAGGTCCATGCTTGTACGGTTCTCCGAGACTTACTTCGAACCACCTTTTAACGACGCACTGGCAGTCGATCGAAAGCTACCACGAATCGAAGCAGGAGTGACGCGCAGACGAGGGAGTGTCTCTTCGTGAACGACAGACTACTCGATTTAAACGGAACACGCCTCGCATCAGAGTATCTCATTAAATTCCCTGCTCGAAGTTATCACGGGGACATATGGTCGGAAATGGTATTCGATTTTTCCTAAGTAATTGAAATTAGCGAAAGAAGAGAGATCAGTTAGCCGAATGCAGACCGCTTTTAACTCACGTGACAGCGCGCGATGACGTCAAAATATACGATCCGCTCGTTCGAATGATGTCACCGGCTATTTTTAAAATCGCCACGGCGCGAAAGTTTCGCGAGAGCCATGGAATTTTTGTAAACAAACGTCTATCGCGAACGCTGTCCGTTCGGATAAATCTCGAGTTTCGTTTCCGTCGCGATTCGACGTTGATCGCTATCCTCGTGTGCGTACTCCTCCACGATCCGCCAATTGAGTACGGAGTTATGACGGTTAAACGAGGCTAATGCGACGAGTCGAGAAAGCTTGATTTATATTTCCGGAAAACCGGACTCGTCGTCGACATTCCGAAAAAAAAGTCACGTCTCTCGATCGACAACAAACTCGTTATTAAGGTGGTAAAAAAAGCGATCTCTCAAAATCGAGAAACTTCCGCTTACGATAGATATCAAGTCGACTCGAACGAATACTCTGGTAGTTGGACGCTATTTTTCAATCATCCTGTATTTTCGTTTCGTTGATGACATCAACTCGAATGTCGCAGCGGGCCAACCGTTTCGTCGGTTGGCGTGTTTTTCTTCCGGCCAGGAACCAAATTAGTCATCGGCGACGAAAATATGGATTACCCTAATCGTATCTTCCATATCTTGGAACATTTTTTATTTATATATATTTTTTTTTTTTTTTGCAACACATCAAATTGTTTGTGTAACAGGCAATTTAGAACGTCGAAGATAACTTTGAAAACCAGTTACGGTCTATCCTAATAACGAATTATCTCTCAAAGGAGCAATCGAATAACCCGGTGCTTTAACGCTATTGTACGTCGCAGATAGACCGCAGTAATTTTAGACACCTAGATAGCTAATAGAGAAAAATGGAGATACCTCTCGTTCAAACAACCGATAATTTAACGAAACAGACGTTTTATCTGGTGCCCTTCTGACGCAGCGCTGAATCATCGAGTCGGAGCTCTACGTCTTAGATTTGTACGCCATTTGCGCGCCGATTAAACCTCGCGCGTAACTTTGTAGGAATCGGATAAATTGAAATTTCGGATGTAGTTATCGATAACGAAGTTCTGTTTTTGTTGTACCATCAAAGGCCGGGTCTAACGAAACGTACGGATCGTGCTGGCGTTGATCGCGAAAGTTCGTAGTCTTTCTCGAGGCGTGAAAGGAATGTCTATCTTACCCCAAGGAAACTGAGAATATTGAAGAAAAAGTTCTGGCGTGAGTCAGCCGATTTCTCGGACGAGTCGTGCGACAGTTGCTCGCAGTTTCCTTCATATTTTCATCGGCTATATGGTGCATGAAAAAACGAACGATCACATTTGTCACGCCGCGTAGAATTGAAAGGATGCACACCGTTGAGTCAACGTACGCGAGAGTCTCGAATATAACTACTAACTACGTTTGCGTAACCAAACTACCAAACGTGCTTCGATTCTCCTCGCAGCTGTTAAAGCTATCTACATGTGGAGACTCGTCCAGATGCATCGTCGCGCGATTTACGATTTCGCGCGGTATAGCCTCGCGCCATTTCGAATCGGTTGCTCCGTATTTCATCGTCGCGACGTCACGTCGATGCGCGATGGTTCGATTTGTTCTATGTTTGGCGTTAAACTTGTATCCGGTTGTCTGCGATCCGCGTTAACACGAGTGCTGCGGGCGCAATAATAACAATTATTACAGGAGTTTTTGCGATGACGAAGATAATTGAAAAGCGGGCCGTGCGACTCACCGAAAGGCCCGTTAACTCCGGTGGAAAGCGGGTGACTGGAAATTACGGTAAAAAACGCAACGGCTGCTTCGCGTAGCCAACAATTTAATCGTGGCGAATCACGACAACGATTTGATCGTCCGGCAAAATTATCGCGAGCTCGCGTCGCTTTTTCAGCACCGGTTACCACCCTACCCGCTGACAGCGAACAATATATTATCCTTGGGACTTTTTCGTTCTCTCGATGACAACGCGGTGTCTCGAAAATTCATCGCTCTTCGACTCGAATACACCCGCGGTTCACCTGTTTCCACTGCGACTAGAACAAAAGACCTTCACCCGGATTCGATACACGACTCGGTTGTGACACGTGTTAGCGCGCTCTGACAAGTGTCCGAGGAGTCTTTTTCTTTTCTCGCCTTTTTCCGCTCGCGCGTACTCCTATACGACAACCGGTACGCTAAGCAGATTTCTTCGAGTCGAGCTTTAGAAGCTTCACGACGACCGGATTACGCGTGTAACGCACCATATTCGGCCGATACGTGCGCGGATTGTCGATTAAATCGAACGCCATTGATTGACCGAGTATCGTCCGTCGTGAACACGACTATCGTGTGTCCCGCTGGACTCGCGGAATCGATTACTCATCGCGTGGGAAGGATACAACAGATCGATTCGAACCGTGAATTTTGTTCGAAATCGTTTTTTACTTTTATCCAGGAAAAAAGAAATACCTTCTCGATAAACTGCATCGTCGAGCAACTAGAAAGGCGCGATTGCAGAAGAGAAATCGCGATTTTAGCCCCTCTTAAAATTTCGAACGGAACGAACACGGATTCGTTGTAATTTTCGTGCTGGCATTGGCGAATACTAGAATCATCCAGCAGTTCCTTATCCGATGACAACGTTTCTCGCGGGCCAATTAGTCGAATTTGTTGTTTAGCAACGATGCGGTTCGGCCGCTTTTTTTCACGGAAAATATCGATGGAATTAAAAGGTTCTCGCTTCCTGGAAAAAGACACGCGAGCTGTTCTCTACTCTATTTGCCATTAATTAGCCTGGCTAGCAGAATGGCAGTATTTCGCTCGGGTGAGTCTGAACCGTACTTCTGGCATTCTTCTGGAAATGGAATAGCAAAGCCTTTCGAAGCGATCGCGCGGAGAAAGCACTCGCTCGGCGCGGAACTTTTACCTTCGACGAGCAAAGGACTGGTTCTTCCGCGGAAAGAACGTCTTTTTACGGGGACTCGGTAACAATGACATTAGACTTGGCGCAGGAAAGGTTTCGAAACGAGCAAAAGCGCCGCTGTTCGAACGAAGATTCAGGATAAATTAACTTCGTAGCGCGGTATTTGACCTTAATAACCGCTCACGGGGAATATCACGCGTTACCCTTCGCAATCGCGATTAAAGTACGCGTCACAGCCGTCGATCGACTGGAAATAGATCATTAATCGTTTCGCGGAATTAGCCGTGGGGTTCTTGGAACGAGACATGAGTTCTGCACGAGAAATAAAGCGAGAGGAGACGGTCATTGTCATCGGAAGACTTTATCGATGCTCGTTTTAACCCTGGAATGGAAAGATTGAATAAATTTTATTCCTTGCATTACCTTACGTTACTTCTTTACATTTGATTGAAGACTTGGTTAAAAGTAAGAATAGATTTTAAATACGAGTCTTTAATGAAATGTAAAGAAGTAACAAAATGTAATGCAAGGAATAAAATTTATTAATTTTATTAAAATTACCAACACGGTTAAAAATAAGAATAGATTTGAAATACATGTTGGTACCTTATTTCTTGATACTCTATATACTAATGAAAAAAGAAATGGTAAAAAATTGGGTATCGTGAAAAGAAGTAATAATTACTCGATCTTTCCATTAAAAGACTAAACCTTTCCGTTCTAGGGTTTGTCATACCGATCGTCCACAACGGCTTGACACGCGCGATTATTGTATGTTGCAGGTAAAACGTTCTGTCAGTCCTGTAAGAAGAAGTGCAGCGGGGAGGTGCTACGAGTACAGGACAAGTATTTCCACATAGGGTGTTTCAAGTGTGCTCAGTGCAACTCGAGTTTAGCGCAGGGCGGCTTTTTCGCTCGCGAGGGCTCTTACTACTGCACCAAGGTACCGTAACGTGTAAATAAAAAAACCAGCGAGACTATTAAAAATAGAAATAGAGAGATGGTTGTGATTATTTGGCGCGCATAACGCACTGCCCTTCGTTGAGTTTGTCGCGAAACGTACGAACGATAACGTGCACGCTTTTCACTGTCACGGATTTTATACTCGTTCGACAGAAAACGAAAGCTCGAGTGAAAACGGTGGCTGCGAATGCGCTCGGAATGCGTTATTTTACAACTCATCCTCCGAGAGTTGTGTCTGGAGAATTGGTCGAAACGATCGTGTGTATGTGTGTGTGTGTGTGTCATTTTTTTGTAATTCTTCAGGACTACAGGGAACGTTGGGGCACGAAGTGCGCTGGCTGTGGAGAGTACGTGGAAGGTGATGTAGTCACCGCGGGCGAGAAACACGCGTTCCATCCGAATTGTTTTCACTGTCAGAGATGCAGACAACCGCTGTTGGGCCAGGGAACGAAGGTGTCCCTTGTGCAAGGTAAACACCCCTTGAAATCGTTCGTTTTCAGAATGCTACATCCTCATTTACGATAACACATGTTTCGTAAAGAGGTGAAAACTAAATACGTCCTATTCGTTGTCTTTTGACGCGATCTGCGTAATAGGCGTATCGGTTAATCCGTTAACGCGAATTACCGTTTAGGTGCATCGCTGCTGGTTCTGGTCTAACGAGGCGAGACACGTGTGGCCTTGTAACGATTACTCGATTAATGCTTGATCATACGTTTGCACTAGATACTCGAAACGACCTTACCGCGATTTAAACTGCCTCCGTTCGACTCGTTACGTTGTTCTCGTGCAAATATTTACGCGCATCTTTGCAACCTCGGCCGTTTTATCGATCCTCCTGGTGGGATACCGATAGAGTCGTATATTTTTAGAGAAATAGCTCCAGGAATACAACTGCGCTGTGCGAAACACTTTTCAAAGAATCATTCGAGCCTTTGGGAACCCGTTGTTCCACCGAAATTAATTCCCGAAGAATTACAACTACTTCACGTCTCCAAAGTGACGCGACCTTTTAAAGATGTCGAGCGCGCCGATCGACGTAGAACGACTCTTTCAGTTACGATGAAAACCGATAACAGTGCCATCGATGACTGGAATTAGCTATTTATACGCGGAGACGCGCAAATCGAGCGAGTAAACAATCGCGAAGCTGCACGCTCGCGTACAAACGATGAATCAGCGGAGAAAATACGCTGTAATCGGAATAAAAGACAATAGTAAAGCAGCGTGCGTCATCGGTCGGATCGTCGACCGGATCTATCCAATCTCAACTAAACGTGCATTGTCTATAGGTCAAGCTCTATGTCATCGATGCGTCGGTATCCCGGTTCGACAGGCCTCGACGCCGGTTGGTTATACCGCTATCACCAGAGAAGCCGGAGACGGGCTCTCCGACCCCGGTGCTTGCGCCGGTTGCGGAAACCAATTACGAGAAGGTCAAGCTTTGGTAGCTCTCGATCGGCAATGGCACGTTTGGTGCTTCAAGTGCCACAGCTGCGACAGCGTTCTTCACGGCGAATACATGGGAAAGTGAGTGAGAAAATCGTCTCGTCTTTTTCTTAATCGAGACACCGCATGCCTTGTACCTTTCGCTGATAACGAGAAAAAAAGGTCAGACATGAAACGCGGTTTTTCAATTGCCAAGAATCGACGCGAATGACACTTTGATTTTACAAAAAAAAAAAAAAAAAAAAAAAAAACGTTGTTAGAAACGCTTACCAAGTATGTATATCGTTGGTAAACATTTTTCTCGACAACGTTTTATGATTAATCGCGAGAATGCACGTCTTTCTTTCTTTCGTACGTCACGCATGTCACCTTGACCAGTGACGATTTGAGTTACGCGACGTCGATGTATGCACAAGTTTTTGTTTCTAGTTCTAATAACACCCGTTATAAATTAGATGGTACTGTTACAACAACTGCAAACAGTTTCAATATGGATACCTTACGTCTACCTTTACGTATACCTTAATAGAAAAATAATAGATAATAGATATTAGATCGTGCAATCTGTATCGGATAACGGAAATCGAATGAATTTTTGAATTATATTAGAGACGGAGTGCCTTACTGCGAGAAGGATTATCAGAAGCAGTTCGGCGTCAAGTGCGCTTACTGCAATCGTTACATCAGCGGTAAAGTACTGCAAGCTGGCGATAATCATCATTTTCACCCGACTTGTGCGCGATGCACCAAGTGCGGTGATCCTTTCGGGGATGGCGAAGAAATGTACTTGCAAGGCGCTGCGATATGGCATCCCCGTTGCGGTCCAGGGCCCAGTGGCCCGAACGGTATCGTGAATGGTCACGGCGAAGCTCACACTCCGCAGCATCGAGAATCGGAGCGGATTTCCAGCAGCGCTTCGGAAATGCAGGTAAGATGGTAGAAATCTCGAACGGAAATGTTTCTTCGCGAATCGCGATCACCGAAAGTTGATCTCGATCGAGGTGACAACACCGCTACGAGCAATGCGAAGCAGCCAAATAGGACTCGTTTGTCGTTCAGTTTTTACTTGTGATCGCTACGTTTATCGTAAACATAAATTTCATTCGGAACTGGCGAATTGTATATTGATCTTGTAAAATATTGTACTATAACACTCGCCGTGTATATTTGTTGTTGCATAGTTATGTAGTGTGTACAGATGGCGCGCGTTACATTTGTTCCATCGTTTTATCGTTACTCGGTACGATAACTCGATATCGTTGCAGTATCGCTGCATAAATGCCACTTTTCCAGCGAATCTCGCGCAAACGTTCAACTATTTTTATCGATCATTTCTATCCGTGTTAATCGTTGATTGTTTTCATATTCGATAAAGCGTGTTTAATTGCTACTCTATTTTCACGATCATGCAGACATTCGATATCGTTCCCAAGTATTAGAATACGTGCACGTCGCTATGCATTTTCCGTTTAGTTGCATTGTTTGCCGTCGAAGGACGGAAATATTGTACTCGTGTGCACACCGAATCGAGTTTGCCGTTCGATTGTAAAATACCAACGAGAATCGAGTGTTTCGTTCGAACGGTTCGGTCGTAGCCTCGAGAAATCGAGACAGAAATACGACGTTTCGGCTTGCATCGTGCTTATCCTGAATTTTTGTGGTACAACACGTTCGTGTAAAAACATGTTGCTGCTCGGTTAACGTTGCGTTGATGCCCAGTTGTTGAAACCAATTTAGAATAGAACACTTTAGAGCCTAAGATATCTTTACTTTTTTTTTTTTACTCGTACCAGCTTTGTGTATAGCTTAATTTTTCATTCTCTTCGGCGGTACATGGCTTTCGATTATGCATCGTTCCTTAACGTATCGTTGTATCTCTTCCGCACGCTTTGATGTTCGGATTTCGATATTTTATTATACATATTTACACGCACACACACACACACACATATATATACGTGTACGCTACACGTATCTCAACATTTTACCATATATTTGATTTAATCATTTTTTATTTTTATTATTGTTTTCTTAATCGTTGTTTACTTTTTTTTTCGCACGGTCATTGTGTATAGTTTTCATTGCGGTCACGCACGCCAAGCCTGAACGGATCACTCTGCAGCCCTTACAGCAGCCTCAGTCGCAAGGTATGCCACGTATCTCCTAACACGGACACTCTCTCGAGGAGTACTCGACCTTTTGTTCGTTATCGCGAGCATTGGTTATCATAGGATATCGTATACAGTTTCGCTATATGTAAAGTATCTATCGTTGAAACAGTGCAATTTCTTGAAGGAGTGTCATGCGCCATTGAGTTTTTATCTTTTTTTTTTTTTTTGCTCGGTACATAGCTAAAGTTAGCGATACGACAGACGCTTACGATTCACCGAATAAACCAACACGAGTTTAGCCGCGATAATATGCGTTAATTGCCTCAGTATTACCCCGCACGAACTGGCAGTCCGGGACTGATATTGAGAGAATATGGACGCGGTGCATCCGAGGATGTGTCTAGGATTTACACTTACTCGTACTTGACCGAAACGCCCAGCCAAGGATACCTGAGACGTCCGATACAACCTTACGACAAACCTCCGACTAGTCCGCACTTTCATAGACCTAGCTGTGAGTCTTCACGTTTTCTCTTGGTCGGAAGCGAGTACGCATCGAGTACTCGTTTCGCTCGGACCAGTAAAATCTCGATCGAATGATTTACGAACGAAACGAGCCACGTTCCTAAATTGTATCGTCGTTTTATTTTAGCGTCTCGTTCGATAAGAAGCAGCGGCGGACGCAGCAGTCGATCCGGAATGCGAGCTCTGGTCGATGCTCTCAGCGAACCCAGACCGAAGTCGCCAGCCAGTCAAGTAGATAACGAGGAGCCAATAGAGCTGGCGCATTATCCCGATGCCATGAAGCCACCTCCTGGATCCAAACCACCGATCGAAAGAGACGATTTCCCTGCCCCTCCCTATCCTTACACGGATCCCGAGAGACGTAGACGATGGTCCGACACGTACAAGGTATCGTCATCGATGACCGCCACTTTTCTACTTTACCAAATATTCGCGCACGATTTCTGTTCGATGATGCGTTCCGTTTGCGATTCAGGGGGTACCCGCATCGGACGACGAAGACGAAGTCGACAACAAAACTTACATAAAAGAAGTGGAGGAAAAATTGAAAAAAGAGCAAGACGAGCTAAGCAAAATCGACACTGGAATAGCGAAGGTGTTCTTGCATGACCGTGAAAAGGATCGAGAAAACTTGAGACACAAAGCTGCGAACGTGGATCCTAGAAACGCGTCGAGAACACCGTCCGCTGCCAGAGAACCGACTTACAGACTGCGATACGAAAGCCCGGTGGGCGCATGTAAGTCACGCTGAATATTCTCAGTTTGCTGTATTTTACTATACATACATATCGCACGCGTCGAATCATAGGTCGCAAACGTTAACTTTTCTCCGCAGCACCGTCGAGAAATATAGATCACGCCAGACCCTGGGAAGACGACGACGGTTTGAGCTATAGATCCAGCGGGCCCAGCTACAACGGTAAGCTTTATATCCCCCCTTTCGGAATCGTTAGTTGTCATTATTATCATGATCGTCTCATTAACATAAGTGATAAATCATCTCATACATGTCCACACGTTCGCACATGACACTAACATACCACTCTACCGTTTAAAGTAACATCGGACGTTAGATTCCGAAGTGATAGCGGGGTGGGGAGCGAGAAACGTTCCACTTTTACCACTAAAAAGTTTGTGCTATCGTGGAACGGGGACCGTTGGAACGTACGAATGCGAATCACGCAGTGGGGAAAGGGGTCCGTGCTCGATTAACGAACGATAACAAGCGCGTGACTCGAGCAGGAGGTTTAAGTTTTAAGTGGCAAAGCACCAAATACCACACACTCTGGTGGCCGCCCATTAACGTAAACCAGGTGATGTATGTATCGCTTTTGCATGCGGTCGGCATAAACCTTCGATGTGCTTGCCTCTTCTTACGTCTCTCGACTATCTCATCAGACTACGAAACAGTATGCGACGAATATCATCCTTCGAAGTAGCGTAATCGATGCAAAATCCCAGTTCTTTTCACTTATTCTTAGTCACGACCATCTCCATTCGTCATTATTCGTTGATTACCCTAGACAATCTAGACGTCACGTTGCTCCTCTCGCATGGTACCTTGGTTTCACTCTTCGCAACTGTCCATCATACACGAACATACATTGCTCGAAAGAAAAGAAAAAGCGTACATCATTATCTCATATCTTTTGAATGTTTCATACTTACAATGTTGGAAGATAATCGTAAACCGAATATACGCTATATGTAGAATATTTACGATATATTGATTTTGTACAGGTTGGAGATCCGTTGCGATGTCGAAAATCAATTCTCGTTATTTCGTACAGATACTTTCTATACAGCCTGTACGCGTACAGTATATATGTATATATTTCTTTTCGCCGCATGACATTTACGTTTCTTCGACACTGCATACTTTTGTCTCGCTTCCTCGGAAACATTTACGCGGTAGGCTGACGAGCGACGCACGTCGGCGTATATCTTCCAATGTTGGCTCATTTAAATCGATGATTAAAATACCGCTATCTATCGTACCGGTACGTTAGTTGACACCGCTACCTGTATCATCGTGTCTCTATTTGTGTTTTTGTGTTTGTGTTGTGTTTGCGTGGGCGGCAGTTGGGAGATCATCGGCACGCTCCCCGGCTCCCAGAAACTATCCACCCCTTGGTACTCAACGCGCCTTCACTCTTCCGAACGCCGCTAGGCACTATAATTCGGTGAGTCCGAGAACTTTCCAATTCACCTACCGTTGATCTCAAGTCAAACGATAACTTAGCGATCGAGGCCAAAAGTGAATTTCGAATTTCCTGAAATTCGTCTTTCGTCAGCGCGGATCAAAAGTCTTTTCCACGTGTAGCATTCGCGAAAACGATCGAGAAAAAATTACGATCGCGGACGACGATTCGTCGTTGACTTGTCTTCACCGGAGGGCATGCTTCTTTTTCTTTTTTTTTTTAATCTCTAGCTTATGAAAAAAAAAAACGTTTATTATACTTACACACAGGTGCTGGCTTCTTCGTACATAAACATATGTATTTCTTTTCGTATACACGCGCGTTACCCTTGCACACTCTCTGTTTACGAGATACGAAAAGCTTGTGCACTCTGAACGTTGGGTATGTTTCACTTTCTTGCCGCGGGGATGCGAAAAACGATTGCGTTAACTGTACCTGGTCTCGTCGTAAATTTTGTCGGTAACCTGTTTCCGAAAACCCATTTAGCGGTGCCTACGAAACGAACGTTTCAAATTCTTATCGACAGAATTCACGAGGAGAATAGGTAGAATCTCCGGGGATCTATCGTCGCGACATATTTATATTATACATCTTTATTTTTTTGTTTGTCTTCGACAACCTTTTCTTCGACTCGTTCACAGTCCGTGCCACGAGCTGCTGCTAGTGCTTCCAGAGTATTGCCTTTGATATTTATCGAACGTTAGATATCGAATTGTTCGTTACTTTTCGTAAGTTTGCAAACGCTAAGGTTGATACTAAATCGGGCAACATTCTTCCGGCGTCTCTGAAATATACGACGACGAGCACGATAACGAGAAGAGGATAGAAACGTCTTTACAAGATACGCGGCGATGGTAACGTCGGCAGAAAGGGTCTGGGTAAAGTCCCTCGATGTTTCGTTTATTATATATGAGCGAGTCGAAACCACTCCACGCATACAGAGTTGTACGAAACGTAATGTTTTGTTGGCGAACGTTGGGCATTCGTATGGGAATGAACGATTCCACTTTCCCGTTGAAACTAATGAGTAATACTGTCGATTGACTATTTGAAACCAGTTGTGAGCTCCCTTCGGCACATCCCGAAGCCAGGGTACGGTCTGGCACCGCGAAGTCACACCTTCTCCTCGACCGGCGGTTCTGTATCTGCTCTCCCTGTAAGTCTTGCACAATCGCGTCACAATCGACGACCAATCTCTTGCACCTGTTGCTGAATTTAATGCTCTAGAGACTTATTATTATTATTACTATTATTATTATTATTATTATTGTTATTATTATTACTATTATTACTATTAGTAATACATTACGTGGATAACAAGGATTTTCCATCGACTCTAAGACTACGCTTTTTTGTCGTCTAGGGTGATTATTCGTTCAGTGGGATGGGAGACAAGACGCACAGCATTGATTTCTCATCTGGCAAATCAGATAGTGAGTAACAAATGGAAAGGAAACTGATCACGTTATCTTGCCACTCTATTTTTTCTCGCAGTACTCTCGAACTTCAACTTGTACATGCTTACTTTCTTTTTCGAGTAGAGTGCTCGCGGAACGAAGAGCGATCCCGAAAGCGATCCTTTTCAAACCATTCCGCGAGCACGCAACAACCTTTATTTATTTATTTATTTTTTTTTTTTCTTTCTCGATTATATTACTACGATTACTAGGCTTAATACCCGAGCATGATTTACTAATGCATCCTCGCTCTGACAAGCGACAGACACGTACACACAAACTCGGACACATACTCGCTCACACACTGTCACGTTTCATTAACGCCTGCCTCGGGTGATTCGACGCGCGGTACAAGTTTAGATTACAGATTTCCATAAGAAACCGTTCGGACTGTTACGATTATTAACCGTGCCGGATGATTTCTAGCGATGCCCGAGCGATAACGTGACTTTAGGACACGTGCTTGAAGATGTTTGATCGTTGACAGCTGCCACGTATCGCGTAGCTTATTAGCGAATTCAGGTCATATGTACGATAACGATCATCGGACATTCGCTTATAGTGATTCGATCGAATCAATTATGTTCCTTGTCTCAGGTTCGCGACGGTTAAAGTTTCATCGAACGGATCTCTCGAATCGACGACGATTTCGTTCTCTGGAGTGGGAACATGATTGGTCGATGGAAAGATTGTATTTAACATAACGAAACGGTTTGTGCAACATGGTTTGACATGGTTTTTTCTTTCCCATTTTTTTCCCCAATTTTAGTATCGACAGGCAGCATCACGGATGTGGATCGACGGGCATTGGTATGTACCACAGCCCCATACTACTCCCGGCGAATTAGCATGGTTTGTAGCTTGTTTTGCATCTGATTTATATTAACCGCGCTTCGACCGCGTTAACTCTACGTATAGTTAACTCATAGATAGACGATTTAGATGTTCGCGCGAGCCGAGCGCATAGATCGAGTAACGTGCCAATAACGTGCAAATCACGGAACCGATTCACGAAGTACACGAGTTGTATCATAATTACGTTGCAGTTTCTCTCGCTATCGCAATGTAAAATACTTTTTTGTACATACAGCGTTGTATATTTATTTGCGCATGCCTGCTGTACATTTGCTGTGATTCCTTTATATTTTTGCATTTTACATTGTTGTTGTTGTTGTTTTATTTTTCTCTCTCTTGCCTTGACATTTGAAGTTTACGTGTTTGATTTTTATATTACGAGAAAGCGGAACGATTCGATCGGCGTTGCTTTTGAAATTATCGCGCTTACATCGAGACATACGATCGAGACGCTTGCGATTGTTATCAACGTTCGCGAGCTTTCCGAGTAACTTTCTTTCGAATAACGTGCCGGAATTGACGCGTACCGCGGTGTTTTCGTGAATTGACTACGTAACGATCTTTCTGTTATACATTGGAATTGCATCTGTTGCATAACCGTGCATAAGAAGTTTTTAAAAAAAAAAAGCAAAAAAAAAACGGAACCATGTCTAAACTGAAATGAATGCGCATGTTGCATACGTGACGCGTGTCGTGGTTGTGCTTTTCGCTTCTCTCTTCTATCCAATTCAAAAGCGATCCGAGGTGATAATACAAACGGTTAGAATAACTTTCACAGAATATTGCTCGAACGGTTAACGATTGCCGGATCCGAAGAATTAATTGTAGCAAGCCAGTTCCCATTATTCGTTTCAGTCTAGCTGTAGTTCTGTTTCGTGTCCGCCCTTACCGAATAGACGCGAACGAGACACCAACGACGGTTCAACCTGTTCGCATAACACCACGTCATTAACGAACATGGCGTTTCGCTGATTCTCTTTCTTCTCCTTCTTTCTTTGCTGCAAAATGGAGCTTGTAAAACGACGACAAAATCGTCGCCAAGCAAAGGGAAAGTTATTGCACGGTCAATCTCCCCGAGTCAAAGAAAATATTTTTAATTTCGTTACGATACGAGCTACGAATTGCTGAAAAATTGGCGCCATTCGGCGCCGTTAACGCTCGAAGAAAGGCTCGGGGAATCCTGTTCGCAAGAACTTGGAACGTAGAAGATTCGAGAATCGGATTGTCTTCTGCCGTGCGAGACACTTTATTTAATTAAGTGCACTGCTGTTAACGCTCGTTACACGGCAAGACAACCGTATCGCGATAACTAATGTTTGACTCGTGCTTCAGAATGATGGTGGAATGCTTCCATCGTCCACCACGTATACAGGTGGCCTCGGTTCGGTGGTCGGAGGTCACGGAGGCCATCACGTGAGGAGATCGTTGCCGGACATGGGTACTGCGCCATCCGAACCACCGAAACTCTATCCTTACCACTTACTTGTCATCACTAACTATAGGCTGCCCGCTGACGTGGATCGTTGCAACCTTGAAGTGAGTAATTACGAGACTAATTGATACCCACGAAATTGACAACCACTAGAATCGAGTGGCCGACCGGAGTTCCTTTCGACCGAGAAATATTAGCATACGTTGATTGTTATAGCCTGACATAGTACTAGAGATCACGGTTTTGAACGGGTATTAAAATACACGGGTACACGGAACACGTGTATCGTGTATTAAGGGATTAAGAACACGGGTATTTCATTATTTTAGAATAATAGCATTTTACATAAAAGTTTGTATCTAAAAATAATTGGATATTGTACCCGTATAATTCGATGTATGCGTACCCGTGTATTAAAAATACACGGATCCATTAATTACCCGTGTACCTGGATATTTCGATACACGTGAAGTAAGGATCTCTAGATCGTACCTATTTAACGGTGTGTATCGTTTAATTTTCAGCGACACCTTTCGGACGCGGAATTCGAGGCAGTTCTACAGTTTACCCGCGCAGAGTTCTATAGACTACCGCAGTGGCGTCGCAACGAGATCAAAAGACGCGCCCGATTGTTTTAACTAGCAGCATTCGTATTACGCGTTCTACTTACTACCTTCGTCGTGTCACGACTGTGTTACCGTGGTACAGAATGTACATTCCTTTTGCCCGCGTTAGGTGTATCATGAGAATGAGAGAGAGAGTAAGAGAGTAGAGCACGTGTTCGATACCGATGATCCGTGAATGTTTGCAATCATGAAATATAGGTATATATATAGTACCTACGTATCGCCAAAACCATCGTCATTTTTACGAACGCGAAAAAGGTTGAGTAATCTTCGTATTCTGACGCAACACGTTCATTTAACACGTAAAACACGTACACACAGGCACACGAACGCGGATCGTTTACATACCGAGACACAAGAAGCACTGCCATTTTATCGTCAATTTCATTCTCTCGGCTACGAATCCACGGACAGCTCGACTAATCGTTGTCGACGACTCGTCGTCGTCCCTGTAACTTCGGTGCTTCTTTCGAAAGAATTTTCTTTCGCTGTTCGTAGGGTTGTTATCCGTTTCTGTGATTAGCAGTGGAGATCTGCTAAAGCGCGTGAGAGCGAAGTAATCGAACGCGTGATAATGATCTAGCCGTAGACCAAGCAAGGATCATTGTAGTCGGTAAAAAAAATGTTTCGATCGTTGGTGATAATCTTGGGTAAACAAACGATATATCGTTTACGTATATCGACTCCTATCGATGGCCGTTTCGGGGAACGGTTTTAAAGAGATTGACTTCTCTTTTCTATATGTAGCATGTAATTTGATTTTCGTGACCATGGTGTTTTCACATCGCGAAGAAGAGAAAAAATTGTTAGATGGGTATGATATTTTAGAAAAGTAGCCAAACACGAGCGATCGTGTCTCATCTCAAACTTTCAATCGTTTGAACAGAGAACAGTCGATGGCTTAGAGTTTATTCGCGGACGTCGACGGATATAGCACACGAGGAAAGTACCAACTACGCGAAACGCGAAGCAACTAGTGGAGAAAAAGAGATAGTAATACTCGTACGTTGTTGTAAATAAACCGGAAGGTCATACAGAGATGAAAGAAGCAACGGAGGTACGAAGATTTAAGGTATATATACATATATATATATACATACATACATACCGTTTTGAGAATTTGCTTGAATCACAGACACATTTACTATTTGCAAAGGGTTATAACACGAAAAGCGCTACTATTATAGGAGCTATCATTATCATTAATTTTTAGCTATTATTATTATTAATTATTATTATTATTATTATTATTATTATTATTATTATTATTATTATTATATTTTACTATAAGCAATATGAAAAATTTAAGTTATAAGTAGATAGAAAGTCCAGCTTGCCGAGTGACGTGTATATATACATATATACGTATATCGTCGTTTTTACATGCTGTATCTTTGTTTTATCACGCGTGGAGTTATACAGGCTATGCTGTAATTCGCGGTATAACCGCAAAGGAAATGTTTTGTTCGCGTCAGATATTTGGACGTGCTTTCTATTCCAACGTGGTCTCGTTCAGGAAAATTGTATTCGACGATACCACGAATTACGAGGCACGCTGTATAAATAAAACCTTTCTTATTCGTTTCTCTGACTTGCATATCGACTGCACAAAAACCCTCCGCGATGCGAGCGAGAGTTGTGCATGTATCCGTAACAAAAAAAAATATATCCGCATTTTGCTAAAGCGAATTACACGAAGAAAGAAAGAGGGGGAAAAAATGTTGAGAAAGCCGAGTTGTATTCTACGCGAATATGTCAGACGGCAAGCTGAACGCGCGACAGAAGAGCTCGGATACGTTGAACCCTAATCGAACGGATGTTAATTTTCCTATAGTTTCATGGAATGTAATTGTATCGAGATCCTGGTCGTTGCATCGATCACATTGATAACAACTGTTCGCGACTACGCGAAGCGGAGAGAACCTGTCCGATTCGTTGTCGCGTACACGCAGGAGTGCGTAACTCCTGATCGAGTCCGAGAATCGCATTTTACTATACTACACTTCGCCTCTTACCCTAAGTCATGTGCCTATATGTAAATGTCGGCGGACATTTAAAACACGAAGAGTCGTTAGTCCTTTCTCTTTGAAAAGCGTCTAACGCACATTGTACATTTGCGCAATCTTTCGCAGTTTCTCGTCGCTTCGATACAAGGAGGCTTGAAACGTGCCCCATGATCTTGCGTGCGCGACCTTGTGAACACTCGAAGAAAACTTAAAATAATTATAACGCACTCAGCGCGACAAAGTAAAATGCATATTTGCATCGAGGAAATCAAAGGGACATTCGCGATATAGATTTCCGTTTTCTTGTCGTCCGTTTTTTTTTGTTTTTTCTTTTTTTGTTTGTACACGCTATCGAAATCAATAAACTGCAATATTTATCTTTCGTTTGCAGTATTTTTCACCGCGTATCGATCGAGATTTGTTTTCCTATTAAGTTTCTTGTGCTTTTCTCTTCTTTTTTTTTGTTTAAGTTAGGTCGCATTTTAATCACGATGACCGATCACAAGTAAACCTAACCGTGACACACTGTCAGATCATGGTGCATCGTTGTCGTTCACACTGTGCAATGCGAACCAATGTATACATAATTACATACGTTTCTGTTGTATAGAGCACATTGCTTCCGCTAGTCCCTGAAGTTAAATAAACGCAACCTACATGAAAGCTAGCATTCACCCATCCTTTACACTTTCATCGGCGTTACATCTGCGATATAATATGATATTTTAACCGTCTCATTTGGTTTTTAATAAATTGATACAATCGATTTTGTGTTGTATCTTGCATTAATTAAATTTTACGGGTCATTACCATCTTTGCCACCAACTAAATTGCCTTACAATTTACCCTCATTCTCGACAGGCTAGAGTGGGTTTCTCCCTCTTTTTTTTTTATTGATATACCTTAGATCCTTGAAGATCCACATTGGTATCCAGGTAGTTTCTATTTTTGACGCTAGATGGTGAATTGTTTGGTACACTAGTGGCGCCATCGGTGAGAAAACGCCCAAGTTTGTAGCAACAATATGCTATTCCCATTGCTTCTTCTAGATGGCGCTACAAATGGTCGATAATTATTGCTGAACTAAATATCTGTTCATAAGAATGATAAATCGGACTTATTAACGCTATATCGAAGTGTTGTAGAGATTATAAAGCAACGAATCCTATTAATTAAGCATTTATGGCCAAAAAAGAAATAATCGATTAAACGTATCGGTGGCAACACACCTAAGTTTGTAGTTGAAACAGTTCCCGCGATTCTTCGTAGATGGCACTACTGACACCTTGCTTTCAATTATTCTTTATTTTTTTTAACCGACTTCGAAAAGGAGGAGGTTACTCAATTCGACGTGTACATTTTTTTTACATAAATCCAAAATTAATAGGATTCTTTGCTTCATAACACTCCGTTATAGCGTTAGCATGTCCAATTTATCGTTCTTATGAATAGTTATTTAATTTAGGATTATTGATTCTTTAGTTGGAAGCGCCATCGAGAACCAAAAATGGGAACTATTTTCACTACAAACTTGGACGTTTTTACACCGATGACGCCATTAGTATAGAAATCGGTATTATCATTATATTAATTTAAATATTTTGACCTTGGTAATGATTATAGATTACATACTCACGTATGAGTAATAAATTACTCACGGCTGTATGTTCCCAAAATTAGTTCGTTCCTTTGACCGCGAGATGGCTATACCGTTCGCGGGTCCATTAAGCGCAAAACTTTGAATTTTTTAAACACTCGGAATTAATCGCAATATCAAGCGGTGGAAAAGAAATATAACGAACAATTCGAATATGTTCGATATGTAATCTTTACGCACCCTTGCTTGCCGAGGAAGAGGCAAAATTGAAAATGCATCTAATAATTTCAATCGGTTCATAGAGTCGATTATCTATTGTAAATACCATTGAATCGTACATTTCACAGTCTTTTTATTTTATCAGCGCATTTAGGTAGGATTCAGCTTTTCTCGAAGTATAACGAAACCTTCCAGCACATTGGAAATTGGCTCGTACTCGTCCAACGCAAGTTCTGCCCTTTCACCGGAAGAGAGCAACGTCGGAGTCGTATGAACGTAGCCACCAGAGATAGATTTTGGATTTCCAGCTTTGCCCACGATGTCCACAGCCTGGCCCACCCTCACGGACACCGGCAGACTCTATTCGTCGATACACAATTATACGCGATCCGATGCTTTAGCGGAAAGTACGTGACAATGGGACGATTATCAGGCTTGAATTATTCTTCGAAACTTCATAAAAGGTACGTACTTGCAAGTTCTCGTCCAAGGTGACTAGCCACCTGGGCTCCATCGCAAGCGCCAAACAATACATCAAGTAATGAGACTTGGCCAGAATCAAGTTGCGGGAATCCAGAAACGCGACCAGAACCACCAGCAGTCCAGCCAGGGCAGCCTGATCCAAGATCTTCGAAGCGTAACGTAACGGCGATATAGACAGCGTACCCTGGACGTAAAATTACAAACGAATCGCGATAAACCGAGATCGTTATACGCGGATATCGATCGTTCGAACGTAAAGATTACTTTGCCGAGGTGAACCAGTCCCTGGGATATTCGTACGAGGAACAGGTGCGCAGGGTTTTTCGCGTGATAACAGGCCAACTGTCTCAACATGATCGCTAGACGCGCGTTGTTCGTTCCAGCGCCGACGAGGCCGAGAGCGAAGATCGCGCTGTTGGCCACGTCTGTGTCGTTGTCGTGGCTGTATTTGTTCAGAACGTCCAGAATCGACAAATCTGGATTCGACAGGAAAGACAAGCCCAGGGCTAATGGCATTGCGCGCCTCGCAGATACGGAACCGTACCTTCCGATCTAGACAAGAGCAACAGACGCGATAGAAATCGCGACGGGAAGTCTGTCGCGAGATGCGATGGAAAGAAATGGGAGAGGAGGATTTTGGCGAAGAAGGGAACTAGAGCGACCCACCTGTCCGAAGATTCGCGAATTCTGTTTGTCATCCGTCAGGCCAACCACGGCGACACCGAGGGTGGCTATGGCTTGCGACGATCCGATCTCTCTGAAAGATCCGTAAACGAGACATGATTCGATGAAAGAACGCGAAAGGATCGTTCCACGATCGGTGCAACGAGTACCTCGATTCTTCGTTCTTCTTCTCAGACTTTTCTTTTGTTTTATCGTCGGAGGTATCGAGAGTCCGGGGTCTTTGATCGCAGCAGCTGGCCACGGGACTGGTCGACGGACTGGTGAACGCGCTGTCGCCATCGACGGGTTCCGAGCATATACGCAGCAACTCTTGCACGATCAACACGTCGCCCGTGCCAGCGTACGCGCATATCTGAAAGCAACGGGTCCGCATTCGAAGCAAACTTTGCGGATGATTGTTTGGTCCAAGTATTTAAACATTGCCTGTAACATAGTTTGCGATGCCAACTTGTAAGGGTCGGGTAAAACCTCGAGGGCTGCCGAGGAAGCTTCGATCGCGTCGCGGCATCCCATGTAGATCATCCCTAGAGACAGCGCCAGAAATCTAAATAAATACCGATTTCTCGTTTAAGGAAACGAACGAACGACACGGACGCCCGATGAAAAATTCCTTTCGTCACCTAGAATGCGTGGTAGACAGTTGCTGGGGAGTAAGTTCTAACAGTTTCTGCAGAAGCGTCGAAGATACGTCCGGGTCACCGGAGCCAACGTTTACGAGTCCCATTGCGATCGCACCGAGTGCTACGACTTCCATGGTACCTGAAGATTCATCGTTTCGTCACGAAATTACGCTTATACCAATAACGTTCGCGCTAACTTTCGGTATCCGCCAAAACTCCGGTTAACAACTCGGTGACGTCGACTCTCATCGAGCCAGCATAGGCCAGACCCAATCCTAAAACAGCCCCGATTCTGAGCGTCGAGCTCTTGGAGCACACGTGATCGCTGAGGAGCGCCAACGCTGGATCGCATTCGTTGCGAACGCCGCAGTTGACGATACCAATAGCGAGCAACGCGCCCGATTTTATGAAATCCTCGCTCGTGTAAAGATACCTGCGACGCGAAACGATGTAGAGGCTCGTCGCGGTTCGCAGCTTTCGTCGTTAAAATAGCTGATATTTACTTGTCGATCGGTACCAAACCACCGTCCACGTCCCACATGTGTATCAGGCCCAAAGATGCGGTAGCCGAGAGCATTCCGTGGTCCTAAAAAAGGACACATCGTTGATCGATTCTGACTGTTCAGGTGTCGCGCGATCTTTGTGTATCGAAACGCGAAATAATCGTGCGTTCCGCACCTTATTCTTGTAAACCCAACAGGAATCCGTATTCGCCATCAACTTATCCTGTCCGAATCCAGCATGAACGAACCCGGTGACAAAGCTGGCCGCTAGATTGGCCCTGGCCGAATCGTATTCGGCTCGTCTCAGCGTACTGGTCTCTAGCCAGGTCTTGTAAATGTCGTCCGGATGTTTGGGTTCGAGGATGTCGAGTTCCCTCGCGAGCACGTGAAAGTGACCGTTCACGTGACCGTTGCTCAGAATCACCTCGATGTCTTTGGCATCGTCGCCTTGGTACTCCTTCTTCAGAGGGTTGTCCTAACGATCGACGACACTTATCGAACCTAATGTTTCTTTTAAAGTAATGTTTCTTTAAAAACGTCAAGTACCCGTTGCCTTGCGAGCATGAACGCTAGCTGCTTTCTCGTTGCCCCATCCGGACAAGTGGCGAGACACTTGTGCACCAGCTCCGGATCGATCAGCTGTTGGGCCACCAAAATGGCCTTGCAGAACTCTCCGAATCTCAAATACTGTTCGGCAACCATTTTCAGTATTTGCTTTCGTTCGGCGTCCTCGCTGTGCCAAACAATTAATCGGAAGAAATTTCAAGTAAATCGAACACGACGACTGCCACACTCATTCGAGACAATTGGAAACTCTAGAATCTAATATTTGTCGTATTACATATTTTTTAATTCGCATCAAAATTAACGAATACTATCCAGACCTGCTTTCATCAATAGTCAGTCCTTTAAAATTATTTGTTCAAGTTCTTCAGTAAAAAGCTCCGTCATCCAAATGTGGGTGACGTGGCGTTTAATATTTGTTAAAGAGACGAAAATGAATTACCTATAAACCGCGCATCCTTCCAAATAACGGCACACTCTGTTAACGTTGGTAGCATCCAGACAATCGCGGATGAAATCGAGTTGGTCGATTTCGAGACACAAGTCGCATCCTGGTATCTCCGCGTTGTGTTTCATGTCGAATTTTACGATGCTCTTGACCAGTGGCGCGAGTACGTTTCTGTCGTGCGAATAAAGAAGATCGGAGAATAAGAAACGTCGAATATCGTTTCTCGGCGATGCGAGCACCTTATACGCTGCTCGTCTCTGGCGG